ATACAAAGGTTGCACACCCACACTTATACACAATTTGTACACACGCTGTATACACAGTTTGTACACACACACTTATACACAGGTTGTACACACACATTATATACACAGTTTGTACACACACACACTTATACACAGGTTGTACACACACACTTATAGACAGTTTGTACACACTTATACACAGTTTGTACACACACACTTATACACAGTTTGTACACACACACTTATACATAGGTTGTACACACACTTATACACAGTTTGTACACACACTGTTTACACAGTTTGTACACACACACTTATACACAGGTTGTACACACACTGTTTACACAGTTTGTACACACACACTTATACACAGGTTGTACACACACACTTATACACAGTTTGTACACACACACTTATACACAGTTTGTACACACACTGTATACAGTTTGTACACACACTTATACAGTTTGTACACACACTTGTACACAGTTTGTACACACACTTATACACAGATTGTACAAACACTTATACACAGGTTGTGCACACACTGTATACACAGTTTGTACACACACTTATACACAGTTTGTACACACTGTATACAGTTTGTACACACACTTGTACACAGTTTTTACACACTCATACACAGTTTGTACACACACTTATACACAGGATGTACACACACTTATACACAGTTTGTACACACACACACTGTATACACAGGTTGTACACACACACTTATACACAGTTTGTACACACACTTATACACAGTTTGTACACACACACTTATACACAGTTTGTACACACACTGTATACACAGTTTGTACACACACTGTATACACAGTTTGTACACACACTTATACACAGTTTGTACACACACACTTATACACAGTTTGTACACACACTTATACACAGTTTGTACACACACTTATACACAGTTTGTACACACACACTGTATACACAGTTTGTACACACACTGTATACAGTTTGTACACACACTTATACAGTTTGTACACACACTTGTACACAGTTTGTACACACACTTATACACAGTTTGTACACACGCTGTATACACAGTTTGTACACACACATACACAGTTTGTACACACACACTGTATACACAGTTTGTACACACACACTATACACAGTTTGTACACACACACACTTATACACAGGCTGTACACACACTTATACACAGTTTGTACACACACTTATACACAGTTTGTGCACACACTGTATACACAGTTTGTACACACACACTTATACACAGGCTGTACACACACACACTTATACACAGTTTGTACACACACTGTATACACAGGTTGTACACACACTTATACACAGTTTGTACACACACTGTTTACACAGTTTGTACACACACTGTATACACAGTTTGTACACACACATACACAGTATGTACACACATACTTATACACAGTTTGTACACACACACTTATACACAGTTTGTACACACACACTTATACACAGTTTGTACATACACACTTATACACAGTTTGTAAACACACACTTATACACAGTTTGTACACACACACTTATACACAGTTTGTACACACTTATACACAGTTTGTACACACACACTTATACACAGTTTGTACACACACACTTATACACAGTTTGTACACACACTGTATACACAGTTTGTACACACACTGTATACAGTTTGTACACACACTTATACAGTTTGTACACACACTTGTACACAGTTTGTACACACACTTATACACAGATTGTACAAACACTTATACACAGGTTGTGCACACACTGTATACACAGTTTATACACACACTTATACACAGTTTGTACACACTGTATACAGTTTGTACACACACTTATACACAGTTTTTACACACTCATACACAGTTTGTACACACACTTATACACAGGATGTACACACACACTTATACACAGTTTGTACACACACTTATACAGTTTGTACACACACTTGTACACAGTTTGTACACACACTGTTTACACAGTTTGTACACACACACTTATACACAGTTTGTACACACATTGTATACACAGGTTGTACACACACTTATACACAGGTTGTACACACACACTGTATACACAGTTTGTGCACACACTGTATACACAGGTTGTACACACACATTGTATACACAGGTTGTACACACACTTATACACAGGTTGTACACACACACTTATACACAGTTTGTACACATACACTTATACACAGTTTGTACACACACACTTATACACAGTTTGTACACACACTTATACACAGTTTGTACACACTTATACACAGTTTGTACACACTTATACACAGGTTGTACACACACACTTATACACAGTTTGTACACACACTTATACAGTTTGTACACACACTTGTACACAGTTTGTACACACACTTATACACAGTTTGCACACACACTTATACACAGGTTGTACACACACATTTATACACAGTTTGCACACACACTTATACACAGTTTGTACACACACATTTATACAAAGGTTGCACACCCACACTTATACACAGTTTGTACACACGCTGTATACACAGTTTGTACACACACACTTATACACAGGTTGTACACACACATTATATACACAGTTTGTACACACACACACATACACAGGTTGTACACACACACTTATAGACAGTTTGTACACACTTATACACAGTTTGTACACACACACTTATACACAGTTTGTACACACACACTTATACATAGGTTGTACACACACTTATACACAGTTTGTACACACACTGTTTACACAGTTTGTACACACACACTTATACACAGGTTGTACACACACTGTTTACACAGTTTGTACACACACACTTATACACAGGTTGTACACACACACTTATACACAGTTTGTACACACACACTTATACACAGTTTGTACACACACTGTATACAGTTTGTACACACACTTATACAGTTTGTACACACACTTGTACACAGTTTGTACACACACTTATACACAGATTGTACAAACACTTATACACAGGTTGTGCACACACTGTATACACAGTTTGTACACACACTTATACACAGTTTGTACACACTGTATACAGTTTGTACACACACTTATACACAGTTTTTACACACTCATACACAGTTTGTACACACACTTATACACAGGATGTACACACACACTTATACACAGTTTGTACACACACTTATACAGTTTGTACACACACTTGTACACAGTTTGTACACACACTGTTTACACAGTTTGTAAACACACACTTATACACAGTTTGTACACACATTGTATACACAGGTTGTACACACACTTATACACAGGTTGTACACACACACTGTATACACAGTTTGTGCACACACTGTATACACAGGTTGTACACACACATTGTATACACAGGTTGTACACACACTTATACACAGGTTGTACACACACACTTATACACAGTTTGTACACACACACTTATACACAGTTTGTACACACACACTTATACACAGTTTGTACACACACTTATACACAGTTTGTACACACTTATACACAGTTTGTACACACTTATACACAGGTTGTACACACACACTTATACACAGTTTGTACACACACTTATACAGTTTGTACACACACTTGTACACAGTTTGTACACACACTTATGCACAGTTTGCACACACACTTATACACAGGTTGTACACACACATTTATACACAGTTTGCACACACACTTATACACAGTTTGTACACACACATTTATACAAAGGTTGCACACCCACACTTATACACAGTTTGTACACACGCTGTATACACAGTTTGTACACACACACTTATACACAGGTTGTACACACACATTATATACACAGTTTGTACACACACTGTTTACACAGTTTGTACACACACACTTATACACAGGTTGTACACACACTGTTTACACAGTTTGTACACACACACTTATACACAGGTTGTACACACACACTTATACACAGTTTGTACTCACACACTTATACACAGTTTATGCACACACTGTTATACACAGTTTGTACACACACACACTTATACGCAATTTGGTCTCACACACTTATACGCAGTTTGTACACACATGCTGTATACACAGTTTGTACACACACGCTGTATACACAATTTGTACACACACACTTATGCACAGTTTGTACACACACTTTTACACAGTTTGTACACACTTATACACAGGTTGTACACACACACTTATACACAGTTTGTACACACACATACACAGTTTGTACACACACACTTATACACAATTTGTACACACACACACTTATACACAGTTTGTACACACACACTTATACACAGTTTGTACACACACTGTATACAGTTTGTACACACACTTATACATTTTGTACACACACTTGTACACAGTTTGTACACACACTTATACACAGATTGTACACACACTTATACACAGGTTGTGCACACACTGTATACACAGTTTGTACACACACTTATACACAGTTTGTACACACTGTATACAGTTTGTACACACACTTATACACAGTTTGTACACACACACTTATACACAGTTTTTACACACTCATACACAGTTTGTACACACACTTATACACAGGATGTACACACACACTTATACACAGTTTGTACACACATTGTATACACAGGTTGTACACACCCTTATACACAGTTTGTACACACACATTTATACAAAGGTTGCACACCCACACTTATACACAGTTTGTACACACACACACTTATACACAGGTTGTACACACACTGTATACACAGTTTGTACACACACTTATACACAGGTTGTACACACACTTATACACAGTTTGTACACACACACACACTTATACGCAATTTGGTCTCACACACTTATACGCAGTTTGTACACACATGCTGTATACACAGTTTGTACACACACGCTGTATACACAGTTTGTACACACACACTTATGCACAGTTTGTACACACACTGTATACACAGTTTGTACACACACTTATACACAGTTTGTACACACACACTGTATACACAATGTTCACGTTGTTGAGTTCACGCACACCAAAGGGTCAATGTTCAATAGAGGGATCAATGGAATAGGAATCTTAATAAACTTGAACTCTAACCCCGCTTTCTGACGTCACCGCTGCACTACCTCATCGGCGTGGGGGGGGGAGGTGTGTTCCCCGCTAGTGACGTCATGTCACCTGCTGCCGCGTGACGTCACGAGACACCAGGAAGCTGCCGTACTCAACGCGCGCGCTCACTGTGAGCCGAGGTGAGAAGTTCACATCGTGGTTGTTGTTGTTGTCGTGTTGGTGGTGGTGGTGGTTGTTGTTGTTTACCCAGGTACAGCCTCGCTCCTCGCTCTCTCTCGTAGGGATTTCAATTGAGTAGCAGCGAGTAATGGAATCGACGTCCAGGTCGGAACATTACAACGCGGGGCCTAGCCATGCGGGGCCTCGCCTCCTGCCCATCGCCTGATTGCTTTTGCTTTAATTATCTGCTTAGACTCACACAGACATTGACTTTAGATACACACACACAGACATTGACTTACACACACACACATTGGCCTACACACACACAGACATGGACTTTAGATACACACACACATTGACTTACACACACACATTGACTTACACACACACACAGTGACTTACACACACACACATTGACTTACACAGACACACATTGACTTACACAGACACACATTGACTTACACACACACATTGACTTACACACACACATTGACTTACACACACACACATTGACTTACACACACACACATTGGCCTACACACACACAGACATGGACTTTAGATACACACACACACATTGACTTACACACACAGTGACTTACACACACACACATTGACTTACACACACACACACATTGACTTACACACAGTGACTTACACGCTCACTTTGAGCCATGCACACACATCGACTGACACACACACACAGCGACTTACAGACATATGGCGTTGCCTGTGCAAAAAATACACAGACACACGTAGACTTACACACACACATGGACTGAAACACACACACATACACTTACACACACGTAGACTTACACACAGACACAGTGACTTACACACACATGGACTCAAACACACACACATACACTTACACACACGGACTCCAACACACAAAGATCCCCCGTATAGCCTTAACAGACTGTAGGGGCAAGTGCTGTTAGCGAGCACCTATGAAGGCCGGAACGGTACACGAGGGGGTGGGTGGCCAGCACCACGCCCGACCGCCTTTGTCTCCCCAGTGGCGATGTTTACTACACACCGCATCAGGTACTCATTTGAGGCTGAGTCGACCTAGGGGAGGTCCGGGACCGGTTCAGATAATCGTCACCGGTGTTGGTGGCCGTGAGCGGGAATCGAACCCGGGTCGCCAGGTTCATAGCGCAGCGCGCTAACCGCTACACTATTGCTCCCCACACACACATGGACTGACACACACACATCGACTTACACACACATCGACTTACACATCGACTTACACACACATCGACTTACACACACATCGACTTACACACACATCGACTTACACACACATCGACTTACACACATGGACTGACACACACATCGACTTACACACACATCCACTTACACACACATCCACTTACACACACATCGACTTACACACACATCGACTTACACACACATCGACTTACACACACATCGACTTGCACACACATCCACTTACACACACATCGACTTACACACACATCCACTTACACGCACATCGACTTACACACACAAAGACTTACACACACATCGACTTACACACACATCGACTTACACACACATCGACTTACACACACATGGACTTACACACACATGGACTTACACACACATCGACTTACACACACATCGACTTACACATCGACTTACACACACATCGACTTACACACACATCGACTTACACACACATCGACTTACACACACATCGACTTACACACACATCGACTTACACACATGGACTGACACACACATCGACTTACACACACATCCACTTACACACACATCCACTTACACACACATCGACTTACACACACATCGACTTACACACACATCGACTTACACACACATCCACTTACACACACATCCACTTACACACACATCGACTTACACACACATCGATTTACACACACATCGACTTACACACACATCGACTTACACACACATCGACTTACACACACATCGACTTACACACACATCGACTTACACACACATGGACTGACACACACATCGACTTACACACACATCCACTTACACACACATCCACTTACACACATCGACTTACACACACATCGACTTACACACACATCGACTTACACACACATTGACTTGCACACACATCCACTTACACACACATCGACTTACACACACATCCACTTACACGCACATCGACTTACACACACAAAGACTTACACACACATCCACTTACACACACATCGACTTACACACACATCGACTTACACACACATGGACTTACACACACATGGACTTACACACACATCGACTTATACACACATCGACTTACACATCGACTTACACACACATCGACTTACACACACATCGACTTACACACACATCGACTTACACACACATCGACTTACACACACATCGACTTACACACATGGACTGACACACACATCGACTTACACACACATCCACTTACACACACATCCACTTACACACACATCGACTTACACACACATCGACTTACACACACATCGACTTACACACACATCGACTTGCACACACATCCACTTACACACACATCGACTTACACACACATCGACTTACACGCACATCGACTTACACACACAAAGACTTACACACACATCGACTTACACACACATCGACTTACACACACATCGACTTACACACACATGGACTTACACACACATGGACTTACACACACATCGACTTACACACACATCGACTTACACACACATCGACTTACACACACATCGACTTACACACACATCGACTTACACACACATCGACTTGCACACACATCCACTTACACACACATCGACTTACACACACATCCACTTACACGCACATCGACTTACACACACAAAGACTTACACACACATCGACTTACACACACATCGACTTACACACACATCGACTTACACACACATGGACTTACACATCGACTTATACACACATCGACTTACACATCGACTTACACACACATCGACTTACACACACATCGACTTACACACACATCGACTTACACACACATCGACTTACACACACATCGACTTACACATCGACTTACACACACATCGACTTACACACACATCGACTTACACACACATCGACTTACACACACATCGACTTACACACACATCGACTTACACACACATCGACTTGCACACACATCCACTTACACACACATCGACTTACACACACATCCACTTACACGCACATCGACTTACACACACAAAGACTTACACACACATCGACTTACACACACATCGACTTACACACACATCGACTTACACACACATGGACTTACACACACATGGACTTACACACACATCGACTTACACGCACATCGACTTACACACACATCCACTTACACACACATCGACTTACACACACATCCACTTACACACACATCGACTTACACACACATCCACTTACACACACATCGACTTACACACACATCGACTTACACACACACATCGACTTACACACACATCCACTTACACATCCACTTACACATCCACTTACACATCGACTTACACACACATCGACTTACACATCGACTTACACACACATCGACTTACACACACATCGACTTACACAGCAATCTCCGATGATGCCACACCTAGAGCAATTGTCTCTCTCTCTCTGGCGAGCCTTAGCGAGGAGCAGTTTGAAAACAAAAGTCTTCCCAGTACTGGCAGGTGCGTCAAGGGGGAAAAAAAACTCAATTTGTAGTCTCAATGTCTTCCAAGATGTTCGTGTGGGCTTGACCTTGTGCACGCGTGAGCCTTGGTTAATTTCCGTAAGTAAATATACGAAGCCGTTAAAGCACAATGGCGTATTTAACGTAGGGCCTTCTTGAGCAAGGGCATGCAGGTTGTCCGTGTAGGGCGTTGGTAGTCCCATAGACGCGAGGTGTTTAGCACCAATGCAGTGCAGTTTGTCCTGAAGGAGGATGGGGGCCTGTTTGAAGATCACATCAGAGAAGTTGACGTCGAGGTTTGTATTTTGTCATTGAGCTCCGTGGAGGATGTCCTTACTCATGCCCTCTTTGTACTTTTTGGCAGAGTCCCCATGGGGTTAGATGGGCTGCAAACTTGAAGAATCTTGCAGAAGAGCAATGTCAGTTGGGAAAGGGGACTGAGCATCAGAAGCTTCTGTCATAGCTTCATGAAGATGGTGGAAGATCTTGCACAAGGGAGGGCAGTAGGGAAACGATCCATCGGTTGTGAACCTTAATTAGCGAGTTAGTGGCAGGTCTGAGCGTTGTTTGAAATCCACCATGCTCAGTGTTTCTGTGAAGATATAGAGGATAGCCATCATGGGCCAACTTGAGCGTCTTTCAAGTAGTTGCATGGATACCTCTTGGTACAGCTGTGGTCTTGCATACATGGCGCATTTGGATAGAACTGGTCACATGGGCCATGGACCATTTAGTTGCAGACCTCAACAAAAGTTCAGGGTCTTTATGAAGGTGAGGTAGCTCAGTACTGATAAATGTGTCAATGTGAATTGCATGAATTGTTTCCCTCATCCATTTGGGAAATGTGAGCATGAGGAAGAGGACGTTTTTGCCACCCAATGGTGTGCAAGGTACTGCTTGTCTATCCAAAGACGCCGCCTTCGTTGGTCGTGATGAGCATCATGTGGCAATAAACTTTGAGTTTGAAGACCCTCGCTAAGATGTCATGTCTGTCTGGTGGCTTTTGGTTTGGATAAAGCTAAAGCTGGATCTCCTTTCATTCGGGATTGCAAGTGAAGGTGATGTAGAGATGGGGCGTGGCATATTGGCTGATGTACGTCATGGCATCCTGAGTCTTCTCATGCATGTATCTTGGTGGAGCTGTGAAGGATGAAGGCAAAGCAACTAATCTGCCCATATTGTGAGCGTTTGTATCTCCTTCGGCATTGATGTCGCCCCAGAGATGAGCATACTGTTCACACGCAGTCGGTTTTGATTCAGTTGAATGTAAAGAAGGCGCCCACTCTCAATGTTGGCATACTAATCGACAACATACTGGTGAAAGAGG